GCTGCTCAGAGTCAGAGGAGAACTGTGCTACATAGATAGGGTTTCCAATGGATCTTTTTTGGAGGCAGGTCATCATGTCTGTCTTCTGAGTGGACTTGAACTAATCTTTCAGTGAGCTGATGAACCTGGTATCCATGAGGGACCTATGAAGTGAGGCACCCCAGTTAATTTTGCTCATTCTTGAGGACGCTGAGATGAAAGGAAGGCTGATGTGGCAGAAAGAGGTGAGGAGAAAAAATGAGGAGTTTGAGGGTGCTGCTGGGTAACGCAGGGCAAGGTCCAGGCCCAGCCAAGGGACTGATCTCCAGAGAAAGCTAAGGGCAAAGGATGCAAATTGGGGTTATCTGGGGGCAGCACAAAAAGATGGGAATGTGGAAGTCCTGCCCACCAACAGAAAGTGATGATGCAAAGGCTGTGCTGGTGAGTGCCCCACCCCCAGACACCTGGAAAAGCCCTCCAATTTCCTTCGCATGGATTCAGAGCAATTGGACACGTTGTCAGGAGAGACTTGAGGTCCAGAGAGAGCGAGGACATGTCTTAGGCTGCATCGTCAGCATGAAAGAGATGGACTGCAAACCAGATCCCCTCCCAAAGCTTTGTCCACCCTCCCAATGGCTGCCTCACACAGACATTTTTTTATGGGTTCTGTCTTGGGAGAAGTACCACCAGAGTACAGCTCTTCAGGATTGAGAATTGCCTCCCATGCTTTGGACATGCATGGGAGAGACCAATCTCGGGAGAAGGACATCAGGCTTGATAAAGGAGAGGGGCAGCAGAAAAGAGGAAGACCCTCAATGAGATGAACTGGCACCGTGGCTGCCACAGTGGGCTCAAACATAATAAGTGAGGGGTGATGTAGGACCAGGCAGTGTTTCTTTCTGTTGTAATTGGGTCTCTGTGAGTCTTACTGACTTGATGCCACATAACAACAAAATAACAACCACCTTTCAAGGGGAGAAAATCCTAGGAAGATGGAGGCCAAAAAGGAAAGACATCAAAGGTATTTGTCTGGGGAAGGAAGAGGTTGAAACTATCTTTATTCGCAGATGATATGATTTTATATATGGAAAATCACAAAAGCTCCACAAGGGCAGTTCTGGGAGCAATAGAGGAATATGGCAGAGTGAAAGGATACAAGATCAACAAGTAGAAGTCTATTAGACTGCTATGTACTTGGGATGAGACCAATGAAGGGGGATCAAAAAGGTGGTACCCTTCACAATAGCCAAGCACAAATTGAAATATCTATGGATATACCTGACCAAAAAAACAA